GGCTCTCTCCGGACACATTAGCAAGAAAAGAGCACCCAACGTACCGTGGGCACACTGGGAAAATGTTCATGTCCCTCTTCCTCCCTGTTTCCTGGTATAATCTTTTTCCCCCCTCCTAAATAGATAACAAGACAAGTTTAAATTTTTTTTTTCCCGATTATAAAGGAAATTGCGATCTCTGCAGAAAAACGTGGTGATACAGAGAAGTATCGGGCAAATGCCGATTCCTGAACCCTAGAGGCCATCTTGGTAGTGTTCTCCAGTCTCCTCTTCCTAACTTCTATTTTCAAACGCACACGCTTGAGCTCAGAGCACCCTGGTCTCAGACTTCCCGTCTTCAGAATTGTGAGAAAATAAACTTCCGTTGTTTAAGCCGCCTGCTCTGTGCTGTTTTGTAACGGTAGCCCGAGCTAAGACGTAAGGTTTACCTCACCTTGATTCTTTTTTTAAGCAGCGTTTTATTTATTTCTGAGAGAGAGCACGTGCGAGTAGGGGAGGGGCAGAGAGAGCGGGAGACAGAGAGTCCTAAACAGGCTTCACGCTGTCAGCGCAGAGCCCGGCTCGGGGCTCAAACTCGCAAACTGTGAGATCACGACCTGAGCCGCAATCCGGTCAGCTGCTTAACCGGCTGAGCCACCCAGGCGCACCGCCTGTATGCTTTCCAGAAAATCAACCTCCCCGGGGCACCTGGGTGGCTCAGTGGGTTAAGCGGCCGACTTCGGCTCAGGTCGTGATCTCGCGGTCCGTGAGTTCGAGCCCCGCGTCGGGCCCTGGGCTGACAGCTCGGAGCCTGGAGCCCGCTTCGGATTCTGTGTCTCCCTCTGTCTCTGCCCCTTTCCCCGTTCGCGCTCTGTCTCTCTCTGCCTTTCAAAAATGAATAAATGTTAAAAAAATATTTTTAAAGAAAATCAATTCCTCCCTACTCATCATTAGACAGTGAGCATTTCCCTGCATCCTTACATATTCTCCCAACAGATGCTTTTTAATGACGGCGTAATATTCCCTCATACAAAGGGACCATACGGCACTTAACCGCTTGCTTCCAGCTCTGTTCTATTTTTATAAGTAGCGCTGAGACGCACATCCCGATATAAACCTTTGTCAGCACTGCTGATTAGTGGAGGTCAGGCTTTTTCTGAAAGGCGCTTTAACCAGGAAGCCACGCGGCAAAGAAAAGAAACCAGTCGTCGTTGGGGAAACCTGGAGGAGGGCCGAACACGCCGTGTGGGTCAGCGGCTGCTGTTCCCTCTGCCGCAAATGCTCTCCCACAAACAGCTGCCTGGTGCTCTGCTTCTTCGTGGACGTGTCCCTTCCTCTGAGGAGCCCTCCCTGACTGCCTGACCTAGACCAGCCCCGCCTTCCTCTTGTGCTGCTTCCGTCCTCATAGGGCAGGTCGCCATGGCCCGCCTTCTGCCTTCGTTTGCTGTCTCCCTCCCACTTTAGGACCAGCTCCCTATCTGTTGTGTTTGCTTGTGTCTGTCTCCCTTATGAGAGCGGGGAGATTTTTGTCTTCTTATGCTGGGTCCCCAGTCACCTGCCCGTTTCCCAGCGCACAGTAGGTGCTCAACAGTTACTGAACACACGGATGGATTTCAAGGACACCGAGAAAAGAAACGAGCTATTGGGATTGCCCACCCAGGCAGGCGACGTCCCCTCGGCATCTGCGCCCATCGGTCCTAAGACGCTTGGAGCATGTGCGTCTGGACCCTGTCCCCACGGGGCCTCAGCTCTAGTACAACAACAGAGGACAAAGATTCCAGACACTGTGGCTGCCTGTGGCTAGATGGACTGAGGGGGGGTGTCCTAGGGCTGGGCAGGGCTGGCCGGAGGCAGCACGTAAAAGGAGAGCCCAGATGAACCTGGAAAAATCACCTGCTCTATCCTCACCAGCAGAAACTCAACGACAGCCACCTTAGTCCCTGCCTCTGGCGACGAGGGGCTCTGGTGGCTGTATGGAATGCCAAGGGCCGTTGGCAGCTACTAGAAGCTGGAAGAGGCCAAGAAGGATCCTCCCCTACAGCCTTCAGAGGGAGCCTGGCCCTGCCTAGGCCTCGGTGTGCGCTTTCTGGCACCCAGACCGCAAGACAATGAACGTCTGCTGTTTCAGCCACCACTTTGTGGTACCAGATCACTGCTGGGGTTTCGACGACAGCGGGATGGAAAGTTCTAGAAGGCTACTCTGAGTCAGTGGCAGCTACCAGTGGGGTGAGGGTGGGGAATAAAGTGGGACCCCCACAGCTCACTCCTGTCCCTCAGGCGCTGCTGGAGTTTTTTACGGGGTAAAATGCTGAAAATGTTTCTGAAAGGAGTGTCCGCCGGGGGTGGGGGTGGGGGGTGGGGAGGGTTCGGCCTACGCAGACCAGGCACGGTTGTAAGCACTTCACAGGCGCCCACCTCACCCAGTCCTCCTTCCCCGTGCTTCTGTTCATACTGCACACGTGGAAGTGAGGCACAGGGAGGCCAAATGACTTGCCCAAGGTTGCACAGCAAGGAAAGGGGGGGGGGGGAGCCAGGATGGGAACCCAGGCAGTCTGGTGCCTCTGACTCTGTGCTCTTACCGCTTCCCCAAGGCGGCTCAGCTCTAAGCTTCCAGGACAAACATCCCTTCCACCGATGCGGCTTAGGACTAGAGAATCTTCTGGAAATCTGTGGTCGCGCTCACACTTCTCCTCCCACCACTAAGCACATCCCCAGTGTCTTCCCCTGAAACTCTGGACGTTTTCTCCGGACGCCTGACCTCATGACACAAACCCTTGCCCGTGTTCACAAGTTTCTTAGCTTCTGCTCCCCAGTCCCTTTCTCTGCCCGGCTTCCCTTAACCTTCCTGGCTCCCAGCTGTTTCACTTCCAGGAGGGTTCATTTCCCCTGAAGCCCCCCCCCTCTCACCATGCTTACAAAGCAAAGACCAATAAAACCCCCCCCCCACCACAAGCTTTTGCAAATTGGGTGTAACCTTTTGTCCAGGGTGTTTGCCAGTGAGGCCCAAGAGAGAGACTTACGGAGGCTGTGCTCAGGCAAGGTCTTCATACAAATTAGAACACCGTGTGTCTTTCCTACATCCTTTACTTTTGTCGAAAACTAGAATTGTGGTAGACACTTGTGTCGCCTACGATACAAATTACACTCCTGTGATGCGGTGGCATGTGCAGTGTGTGACACACACAACTGTCCACGGCACTTGTGCAATCCTGTCCCGGGCGGCACTCTCCACCCCACCCTAAAAGGAGCCACTGATCAGAAGGATGGGTTCCTGGAAATCTCCCTCCACCCGCCAAAGGGAAACTTCCTTAAGAAACATGAACCGGGACCAAGAGGAGAGTTCGGGAACCCTGTACGCAGGAGGAAGCCTTCTGGGATTGCTTCCCCAGCAGGCCAAGCCAGGACTCCTATGGGCAGAACCTTAACCGGCAATTTCAGCACTTAGGGCAGGTGGAGAGGACGCTTCTGTGAGTCAACAGAGGGATGTGTGCGGAGCAGCCCCAGGATGCTCCGTGGGGTGGCTACACCCGTGGCATCCTCGTGTTTGATCCTGAATCCCTGACTCCACACATCTCCAGCTGCTGACAGGCGACTGGCCTGGGGCGGGGGGGGGGGGGGGCTCTCACCTGCACAGGAGGGTGAGAGGAAGGTGTGCTCTGTTTAGGGCGGAGGGGCCTCTAAAACCTGCACCTCCAAGTATCAAAATTACAAGTGCATTGGAGCCGTTGACCAGTGATCCCACTTCCGGGAATGGACACCACCAACCCCAGCTGTATCTGCACAAGGGTGAAAAGACATGCACGTTGCAGAGCTCGGCAGCACGGAGCTCAATGTCAGAGGGCGGGGAAACCATTGAAACATTTGTCTCTGGGGAACCGATTAAATAAACCATGGCCCGCCCGACAAAGGAGCACTATGCAGCTGTACAAAAGAATGAGGACATGTCTTGCCACGGAAAGATCTCCAGGGTATGTTGTTACGGCGGGGGGGGGGGCCCGAAACACAGAACACAACAGCGCGTATAGAACGCTACACTTTGGAGTAAGAAAGACGGAGGAGAATATGGATTCGATGACACTTACATCTGCATAAATAACACCGAAAGCATATACCAGGGAAGTAAAGGGGTTGCACATCGTGGGGGGATAGGCAACAGGACGGAAGTGGGGCAGACAGGAGCATACATCTCCTTGGATGTGTCTCTAACATTTTCAAGGTTTTGGACAAGAGTACTGACGGAGGCCCATATACTCTTGTAAATATTTAAAAGCTCCTAAATAAAATATGCTCTATGCCTCTCCTTTGTAAACATACTTTCATAAGCACCAGGAAGGTCAATTTAGAACCCAGATGTCTGCACTGGATCACGACGTGAGCAAAGCCAGCCTTGCTCCCTGGCCACGCACGGCTCTGTCTGGCCCAGGGGAAGGGGGCTTCATGCATAGATGCATGGGCACTTCTGCCTGCATTAGTCTAAGCTCCAGCCACATTTGTGCCAACAGATGCTTCCAGAACATGTGGCGCCGTTGGACAACAGACCCACGGGAGAATCTCATTGCAAGTCCTTGGAATCAGAAAATTCCAGAATCCCAGATGATCCAAGAGTGGGGTCTAGAAAAGTGGGGTAAGTGGTGCCAGTTCCTGGTAGACATGTCCCCTGAGCCCCGGGGATGCCTCACCCTACAGGGAGGGGCATGGCTGGCAGAGGGCCAGCGAAGGTCCCAGCACAGAGCCCCTTTGTATAGATCCAAGGATATTACTTTTTTATCCACGTTGGTTTTTGAATCGCACAAGCTTTACATATTAAAAAATATCTAAAATTATATTTAAACACTTGCACAGTGAAACCTTATTCAGCATCGGTCTGCCTTCCGGATTTCCATGTCCTGAGGGGCCTCCTCTACTTAAAAGTTCTGGGCACCTGCACCTCCCCTCCCTCTCTGGTTCAGAGTCCCTCCAATGCAGCCTCAGGAATTGGCTGGTCCAGGAGGGCCACCTGCCCCCAAATTTGCATCACTTACGTTGTAGAGGAGGTCAGTCCACCCTTCCATGGTGATGCACTGGAAAACAGTCAGCACTGCAAATAGGATGTTGTCGAACTGAGTGATCCCATTGTTGGGCCCTTCCCAGTAGGGCTGACATTTGGTCCCATTGGGGCAGGTGCGGGCGGGTTCCTCTGTCCCACATGGAGCCGGAGACTCACCCTGAATGTCATCTATGAAAGAGAAGAGGAGAAAAATCAGGGGAAGGGGCTGGGAAAATCAACTCTGAGAAATAGGGGCTGTAAAGATTCAATGCTGTTGCAAAAATAAAGACTACTGGAATGAATTTATCAATGTTTTTTTTTTTTAAGTTTGGCTTTGCTGATCTAGTCATTGGTGTCTGTTTTAGGAATTTCTTCTCTAAGCTTTATTACTTTTCCTGTGCATTTCCCAAACTTTCGCGATGCATTCCCTTTCTTTAAGGCTACAAATTGCCCTCTGAGCGCAGCTTTAGCTGCATCCCACAAAATCTGTCATGCATTATTGCGCAAGTAAAATATTCTTTGACCCATAGATAGCCAAGATACTTTTTTTTTCAAGTCAGATATATAAAAATAGAATAGTGTAATGAATCCCCATGTACCTATCACCAACTTTAACGCTTATCAACTCAGGGTTAATCTTGCTTCATCCGTATCCCCTCCCCACACTTTGCCTTGCCACTAGAATATTTTTTTTAAAGCAAATCTCAGATACCCCATCATGTCATCCACAAACAAGAAGCAGGTCTCTTGATTTCCAAACACTTTCTGAGTTATCCTTTTGTTGCCAATTTCCAGCTTAATTACACTGTGGTCAGAGGATATGTTCTGTATGATCCAGTCCTTCAAAATCTGTGGCGACGTGCTCTATGTTCCCGAATACAGCCAGTTTTGGTGAATATGCTGTGTGCTTTGTGCCGTGGTTGGGTGCTGGGTCCTCCAGACTTCCATTAGGACAAATATGTCCGTCGTGTTATGCTGTTGTTCTGTAGCCTGATTGTTTTCCATTTCCTTTTCTCTTCCTTCTTCTTCTTCTTTCTTTCTTTTTTTTTCTTGAGATGTACTAGGCACAGGGAGCTGTTCTGGGGGCGAGGGAGGCCAGTACACATGGTGCTTACTTACCCTTAGGCACAGGCGCTAAGTTTTCTCCCCAAACGGCAAGAGGCAGATTGTAAAAATGCCACAGTGAAAGAGACACTTGCCAACAGATGCTGCTTTCGCAGACAACCAACGACAGCTTCGTGGCGAGGTTGGGCTGGGCGCCCGAGGTGGGGTCTGGATTCCAAGGGATTGAGGGCGAGACCCCAGGAGCACAGAATGACCTAGGTGTGTCCCCACTGGACCAGAGCAGCAGGTACGAGAGGGGCCTGTTCAGTGAGTCGCACTTTTGAAGGATTTCAGAGAGCGACACTGTCCTCCAGGAAAGCAGCCCAGTGTGCAAACTCAAGCTCTCCACCAAACAAAAACGTATCTCAACGTATGTGCTACGGGCACGGATGCCAACCTCCACTCAGCACGCAGCAGAGAGAAATAAACGATGGAATGTGTGAATTTTATTGGCCTTTGAAACGCCAGTTGAAGGTCATGCAAAGAGACACCTGCCACTCTGGGAAGTGACACTCCGTGCTTGAGAAGCACTGACCACACTGGCGGCTCGTTTAACTGGCTGGACATGCCTCCCTCATTCACGCTGCACTTGGGACCGGGGCTGAGATTTAATAAATACAGGTTGGAAGGCAAAATCTTCTGAACAAAAGGCTAAGAGCAGGGAGAGAGGAAACGCACGGGTTCCTATAGCAGACGAGAACCGCTGTTGGTTGGGAAGGCCGCCTCTGTCCAGAACCTTCTCTGTCTCCACCCTGCGACCACATCGGGCTCAGTTCCCACCCCCGTGCGGCCCCCTGCGTCAGCCAGTGAACGCCGGTCCCGCCTTCCCTTCAATGGCTCCGGAAGGTTCGTTCATATTTGCCGGGGGAAGGGGACATAAGAGCACACATCGGGCTTCACTGCTACGAGCTGGTGGCAGACGAGGAGTCTTGTCTGGAAGCTGCTGGAAATCAGGAAGCCCTCCACTTTACCTTTGCATTTCCCTGAGTGCTGAGCACAGTTCTGGGCGTGCAGGAACCGGGTTCCCGATGACAAAAGAGCGCAGCTGGAAACCTGACTCTCTTGATTTCGTTCCCACCCCCCCACCCAGCCTTCCGTCCCCCCTCCCCCTGCCCCCCATCACGAAACACTCTGAGGGCTGCTTCTAGAAAAGCAACCGTCCGGAGAGTCTGAGGAATTTGGTTATAAATATATTTTAAAATTAACCTGCTGCCTGGGTGTCTGTCTATATCGGTCTCTTACTCACACGCCTTATATTTTTAATCGCGAGCTTTTCAGTTATCCTCCTAAATCGGGGCTTCCTACCCACCCCGCAGCTGCCCCACCCACATCTGCCCCCTCACAACCCCACCTAGGCCCGAGCCAGTTGTGTCTGCTTGGCTGGAGAGAAAAAGGAAGGAAGGAAGGAAGGAAGGAAGGAAGGAAGGAAGGAAGGAAGGAAGGAAGGAAGGAAGGAAAAGAAAGAAAGAAAAAGAAAGAAAGAGAGAAAGAAAGAAAACCAATAAAACCTCAACACTTAGGATCCAGGAGTCCTGGTTTCTCTGCTCTCGGCTGACTTTTCCAAGGGGCCCTGCCCTGTATCTCTCCCTCCTGCATTTCCGCCCGGGGTGACGAGGCCAGGCGCAGAAATAGCTCTGCCTCAATTAACACCTTCTTCATCGGGGAAAGAAATAATTAGGACATCCCATATTGAGCAAACTTCACAAGCCCAGGAGAGAAGGAGTCAGGAGAAGCAAGAGAAAAAGGAGGAAGAAGAAAGGACATCTTGAATACACGTTTTCTGTGCCCCGTGGGGCGGCCTGGGGCCAGGGCTCTGCCTCTTGGGGGTCACCAGGAGGAGATGGCCCGTGGGAAGCCACTCCCGGCCAGATCCCTCTGCCCACCCAGCAAGACAGGCCTGAAGCCTCTTTCTTTTCTCATAGGGACTCCCCCTCGGCGTCACCGTCCCCTCGCTGTCCACCCCATGAATTCGTGGTCCCCTCGCCCCGTGACCAGCCCTGCCGATGGGCCCGTCTGCACCAAGATGGCCAGTGGCGCCCAGACTGACATACAGGCATCTCTCCTTATCCGATTCCGTTTGGTACTTGGGCTTCAGGGAGGCAAAAGGGTTTGGAGAGCAGGAAACGTCACTGAGAATGTATCTGGGAGCTACCGGGTCCCCGTGTGTGTAGACAGTGGGGGAACGCCATCCGGGGACCCCAACGCAAGGCCCTAGAACTACCGAGACCTCGAGGGCTCTTTCACCCCCCCCCCCCCGCCCCTCGCTCTGCCTGCAGAACTTCGGAAGCAAGCTCTCCCAGCTGCCCGGAGAAAGAAGCGAAACCCTGCACCTCCCTTCCGGGAGCTCGTCCCCAGGGGAGGAAGCTTGGCAAAGTCGCATCATGCTGCTGGGACCTACCTGTCCCCTCTTCAAAGCAGGTGGTATGAAATTTCCCCATATAAAATTCTAACCCTATGATCGCAAAAATAAGAATTGCAAAAAACAGGAGGAGGCCAATCTGCAGCAGGGGGATCATTGCCTTCATGATGGACTTCAGGACGACTTGTAAACCTGGGGAGACACAGAGAGAGCCCCACAGCTCCGTGAGCGAGCGCCCCAAACCCCAGGCACCCCGAGCACACGCGAAGCTGAGGGCGGGGTGACAAGGCTGTTCGTTATACAATGGGAACGATCCCTCCCGGTGTGTGAGGGCACTTTTTATCTTAAAGTATTTTTTTTTTCCAACGTTTATTTATTTTTGGGACAGAGAGAGACAGAGCATGAACGGGGGAGGGGCAGAGAGAGAGGGAGACACAGAATCGGAAACAGGCTCCAGGCTCTGAGCCATCAGCCCAGAGCCCGACGCGGGGCTCGAACTCACGGACCGCGAGACCGTGACCTGGCTGAAGTCGGACGCTTAACCGACTGCGCCACCCAGGCGCCCCTATCTTAAAGTATTTTTGAAGTATTTGACATATGCTGTGTCATCTGATGACCTTTTAGGCAAGACAGGCGTGGAAACTGGTTGCTTTCGGAGCCGTCCTCCTAAGTGTTGGGCGGCCTTCACCCAGAGAGGGGAGCCTTTTCTTAATTCTTCCCACCGAGAGGGGGCGTCTTTTCCTAGTCCAGGCAAAGGCTCCAGTTAGGTTAGCCCCACCTCTACTCGGGAAAGCAACCAACGGCCTAGTTCCGGTCCCGGGGAAACCAGACGTGATTTCACCGGCTTGTACCCCCAGCCCTTGATGTGGGCGCACATGTAGCCCCATTTCGCAGAGGTGGGAAGCGAGACCGAGAGAGGTGATTTCATCCCAGGGCATTAGCAATAACAGAGCCAGGGTTTAAGCCCAGGCCTGAGGGACGTCAGATCCTCGGTTTGCGGCCACCGCGCGGTCAGGGAAGTCTACGGTGAAAACGAGTCCGAACAAAAAGCCTGAGGCCTTGCTTCTTGATTAGCAGAACTCCGCGTGGCTCATGATTAGCACCTCCTGGTGGGGGGAAACCACGGGGGTCCGAAATGGAAGAGCGATGTTCTTCCACCCGCCTGGCAGGGTGGGTAAGGCTCCGGACACTGGGTGGCGTCAGTCCCCGGGCCAGATACCCTGCACCCACCTGCCAGCCGCTAGGGGCTCCCAGCTGCCCCTCCTCCTTGTACAACTCGGTGATCAACAGCGGCCTCCCCCAGGCGGCTGCTGCCTCCCCGCCTCCCACCCCCAGCAAGTGACCAGAGAGGTACAGAAGGCCAGCAAGCAGTCTCTTTGCCTCAGGTTGCAGGATACCTAGGGGGCTACTCACAGTCTAGAGCTCTCCACGAGATCAGGCTGAGACTGCATCCTTGCTGGGCATCTTTCCCGTTCCATCCCGCTGTCCTCATTCTCTCTCTCCTGACAGCCCCCTCCAGATAAGGCAGGGCCCATCTGAGCACCTCGCTAAGCCTGCATCGAGGGGCCCCGACCTCGTCAACTACGCCAGCCGTGTGACCTTCACCAAGGCAGGTCACCGTCCTGAACCTTGGTCTCTCCATCTGTGAACGGGGACTGGGGGAGCACCGCCCTCTCAGGATTGAAGGAGGGAGCTCCTAGCTGCCAAAGCACCATCGTAGGTGGTGATTAATAGAAACCCTTATTAGCGTTAGCTTGGGGATGATCCCTGACTCAACGCGATGCAGGCAGCTCCTGGAATCCTGCAGATGCTTCAGTAGACGTGCCTTCTTTCCACGAAAAGGCCCTGCTGGTGGTCACGGGGGAGACCTTGCCCTTTAAATCTGGGTGGCAACGGACCCTACGGAAAGAGCCAAGGAGGTGGGCGAGGGTGCTAATGAGAGAAGCTACCTCACAGGCTTGTGGTGAGGACAAACGAATTTGAAAAATGGCAGCCACTTAGAGCAGCGCCGGGCACACAACAAATTACTGGCGGTAGGACGAACTGAGGCAGTGGGGCACAAAAAAGGTCGGCCCTGTTTTTTTTTGTTTTTTTTTTGTTTTTTTTTTTTTTTTGCAGCTGAACCTCCTCCTGACCCTGCCTACTCCCCCCGCCCCCCCCGGGGGGGGGGAGGGCGGGGAATGGAAGCACCCTGAGAGAAGGAGAAAGCAGCACCAGATGCCTATGGACTTTGGAGCTCATCACCGTCAAGCTGTCAGAGCTCAGGTGCATAACTCAACCTGAGCCTCAGCCTTGTCACCTGTCAAATGGGTTCACTGGGTGACTGTGAAGACAAAGACATTCAATGCGTGGAAAGTCCTGTCCCTAGCGTCCAGTAGGCAGCGGGCGCTCAATACGTGGTGACCGCCACTGCCACCAGCATTACTGGCCAGGCTTGGGCCACACTTGCTAAGCCCCAGTCCCGCCATTCTCAGCCACGTGACACTGCTCCAACGGTTCGGCCGCTCTGAGCCTCAGTTTCCCCACCTGTCAAACGGAGATCTTGCCGAGGCCCAACTGCGGAGAGCTGTGAGTACTGACTGAGCTAACATCAACACGACTCCGGACAGATAGCAGGTGCTCAATAAATGAATGGGTGCTGTGGCTCTAGGTGAGGCCCCTGGCTTGCTTTCAGAAGCTCACCCAGACCGGCTGCCAGGTTCCTGGGGGCGGGCGGGCGGGTCCCTTGGGGAGCTTCCCCCAAGAGAAGGTTGCCCTGACACAGGCTGGGAGGCACTCGGGGGCCCCTTCTGAGATGCTCTGCGGAGGGGAAACTGAGGACTCCCGGGACCCCCTGAGCAGACCCCTTGCCAGGGTTGGAAACTCACGCACTTGGGATTCCAGACACCAGCTTGAGCGGTCTCAGCACTCGGACTGCCCTCAGGGTCCGTAGGTCAAACTCCGTCCCAACGGTCGCCAATATGCTGGAAGAAAGAAGCCAGGGCGGAAAACAGAGGGTGGGTTTCAGGGTCAGACAGGAGTGGGATTTGATGTCAGTTGTTGGCTCGGTGACCACAGGTGCGGGACTTGACGTTGCTGGGCCTCGGGGTCAGAACCTGGAAAGCAGCGTTAACAGTACCTGCCTTATAGGATGAAAGGTGATTTGCAAAGACCCCGAGTCGGTGTATGCTTGATGGTGATCAGTAAATGCTGGACGGAGAGGGGCGAAAGTTTCCCATCACTCGCGGTCGGGGTGATGCTCAATATATTGCACAACTCGCCATCAGAACGAATCACGGGGAGGCCCGGAGGTCTGGGGGAGGGGCCCGGGAGAATGGCAGTCCCTTTGGGGCTCGGCATGGGTTCAAATCCCGGCTCTGCCATTTCCCAGCTGGGAGACCTTGGACAGGCCAGGACGTCTCTCCGTGTCTCAGTCTCCCCTTTTTTGTACACCAGGGGTAACCCCAGTACGGACGACACCTCAAAGGGGTGTGGGGACTAACGACACGTTGAATTGATACGTGTGACGCGGTCAGCACTACTCAGAAATAAATGAGAAGGGAAAAAAACCCAACCAAACAAACATAGAAAACCAAAGCAAACGACGCGTGTGGCTCTGCTGGTGTGGACTAGCTTGGTCATCTGAAGAAGCGTGAGGCCGCCGGTGAGGAGGCCAAACCAGCCAGGGTGACAGCGGGAGGCGGCGACAGCCGATCACACAGGGCCCTGTGGGCCGTGGCGAGGACCTGGTTCCTTCTCCAAGTGACGCGGGAGCCACAGAAGGTTCCGAACACTGGAGAGATGGGATGTGGCCTGTATGACAATGAAGCCCCCCTGCGGGGCAAGGCCAGAAGTTGGGACCTGGGGTCGAGGCCACCGCACTTCTGGGTGAGACGCGCGGGGGTCTGGGCGGGGCTGCGCGCGGGACCCAATGGGAGCCCGGAGAGGAGCTCAGCCCCGCCCTCAGATGAACCTGCGAGAGGGTGAGGTTCAAACACAGGTCCCTGCAGCCCCGGGCTGCAAGAAAATGGGGAAGCAGCACCGCACACACAATCTGCGATCTGGACCGAAACCCTAGCCCTGCCTTTTCTCATTGTGTGGCCTCTGTCCTAACCTGTCCAAGCCTCAGAAATGCAGATCATCGGACCTCCCTCCAGCCCCGTGCAGTCTTAACTGGCAACTAAAATGCACTCTCTTCCACCCCCCCCCCCCCCCCCCCCCGCCCTGGAAGGATGAGAAGGAATGAAGGGGGGAGGCGGGGAGGGCGGAGGAGAAGGCTTCTGTGGCCAAAGTTTCATTCAGGATGTTGCTGGGGAGAAAAGGGTGGGCTGGCGCCGGAGGCTCTGAACTGGAGGCTGAGGAGGTGGGCCTTATCGTATGGACAGTGGGAGTCATATAAGGTTTCGGAGCAGGGGAGGGATGTGATTAGGGTTGGCGTGGTAGAGACAGGGCTGACAGCTGACAGGACAGATGGGCAGAGCGTGGAGGGAGCGGTGAGAGCAGGCCGGCGTAATGAGGGCTGGAACTAGGACAAAGGCAGTGGGAGTACAAAGGAGGCCCCAATTTAAATATAGCTGCCATTGATTGCTGGGCATCAGGGAGCTTGCCTGGGCTCATCAAATTCTGCATTCCAGCAGTTGGTAGGATGAGCCCCATTTTCCAGAGGAAACTAGAGCCCAGAGAAGTTGCTAATGCATGGAGGTCCATACCATGGAGCAGGACCTCAAAGCCAGGACCCCAGCACACCAGAACCCCGGTTCTTCATCTCCTGCGGCTTGTTGGATGGGGTGGGGGCCACGGTGGGAAAGACAGAAGGGAAGAATGGCTTCCTGGCTCTGAATGAACCACTAGGCAACGGTCATTCACTTATTCAACAAAGGTTTATTGAGCACCTACTACAGGGGCCCAAGGATGCCGCCATGAACAAAGAAACAATGGGAAAACATAGGGTATGTCAGAAGGTGGGAAGTGCTATGGAGAACAACATGGCAGCCGCCAGGGCTTCCCGTGGAAGGATTAAGCGTCGTGGGATGGGAGCAAGAGAAATCCAAGATGACTGTAGGGTTTGGCCTGAAATACCTGAAGGATGGGGTGGCGGGAAACTGAGATTGCAAAATGGTGGGTTAGGAGGAAGATCAAGACCGGGCTGTGGACACGTGGAGTTTGAGATGCCAGTTGCTATCACTCCCTCGTTAAAACCTGCCATTGGCTTCCGTCAGGCTTAGCATAAAATCCAAACTCTACCGGGATCACAACACCTAGAGTCACTTGACACCCACGGACTGTCCTATCCCACCACACTCTGGCCACCCCGACCTTCTGTTCCTCCCACAGGAAAAGCTCCTTCCCACCCCAAGAATGTTACAGTGGCCATTTCTTCCACTGCAAATGCCCATCCCCTTAACTCTCTCCCTCTTTGCCTGGCGCCCTCTTCAGGTCCTTCAAAGGTCACATTTCGCCTTCTCAGAGAGGATTGCCCTGGCCCCTCTAGCCAAAGAGATTCTTTGCTCTCCAGGATTATATCGTTTATTAAGCTGTATTTATTATCCCCCCCCCCTTCTAGAATGTGAGCACCACAGAGACAAAGGTTGTGTGTGTGTGTGTGTGTGTGTGTGTGTAGCACCTTTTACGGCCTAGCAGGTACTCAATAAATGCCTGCTGAGTGAGAAAAGAGTGGTGGGAAACAGGGTTATGGTAGACCAGATGTCCTAGAGTAGTGCAGGGGTAAAGTGAAAGAAGCCAAGGGCCCCCAGTGGAATGTTGGGAAAGAGCAACATTTTAAGAGACAAGTGGTTGAGGAAGGAGACTGGTGAAAAAGAGGAAGTCACGGAGGTGGGTGGAGACCCGGCAGGGAGGTTCATCCTAGGGGGTCAAGTTCAAAAGTGTTTTCAGAAAGGCAAGGTCATCGGTCTTCAGGGCAGCCCAGGGATGAGTTGGGTGCAAGGGATGAGGAGCATCAGGTCACTGGGGGGTCTTGCCGGGCTTGTAAGTGCTCTATAGCCCCATGGGGACAGTGGCATTTCCATCACCGGAGAATGTTCCACTGGATGGTGCTAGTCTTGCTTCGCCCCACTAGGGAGGGGATTTTCATGTTTTGTTCACAGCTGTATCCCCAGTACCTAAAACTGTGCCTGGCATACAGCAGGTGCTCAATAAATGCTTCTTGCATGCACAATGAGGAAGTGAAAAGTAGGAGAGCCTGATGATAACAGAGTATATTCTGGAAGAGACAGAAGGCTGGGTAGAAGACAGGACTTGTCTTAAACTAGGAAAAGGATTGTGGAAGATACGATGGCTGTTTATCCAACAGCCAATCCTACGCCCTCCCTTGCCAGTGGAGTGCGTCTTCCATCAGAGTCAGAAAATACCCAACAGGAAGTCTTTTTTTTCCCAGAATTCCTTTCCATGGGAGCCCTGGTCGAATGAGCCAGTCATGTATCTAACAGGACCTGAGGGGGCTGCTGGGGGCTGTTGGAGGCTTCTGGGGGGGAAAGTTTTCTTCCCCTGAGAAAAGTGGCATGGCAGGAGACAACCCCTCCTTTTCGTTGGCTGGATGCTTTTGTGTAGACGTCTTGGAACAAGGTGGCCATCTTGGGACCATGAGTGGTAAAGGTCACCAGGAAAGTCCTTCCACAGAAGACGCCACAGTGGAAAGACAGAAAGGGCTCCTTGGGGACATCCCTGGGCTGTGGAGCCAACCCTGCCACCAGCCACCCTTCCTAGTGGATAAGAGCCAGGCGGCCTGGGTTCAAATCCCGGTTCCTCCAATCACTAGCCGTGTGGCCTCGGGTAAGTCACTCAACTCTTCTGTTCCTCAGTTTCCTGGGCCGTACGACGGGGATGACGATAGTACCTGCCCCGATAGGTGCGGGGGTTTATGTGATGTGCTTGGGATTTAGGAAGTCCTACGCAAATGGTTGCTTTTGTCTTCATCATTTTTCTTCTTCTTGTGTTACTTGGGGGTAAGTGATGCCGGAACCCACCAACAAAGGCAACGGTCATCGCATCGTTTCCTTTGTCAGGCTACAGGCTTATTCTTTACCTACTGAGATCTCATTTCATCCCCCAGCATCTTTACCTGGTGAGGGTTCTACTCTCTTCTCGTGAAGAGGGAAGCCGAGACCCAGGGCATGAGCTACTCGTCCACCACAATCACACAGCTAACGTGCGGTGCCTGGCTCTTGAGTCTGGCTGTGTCACCTCCACCGGGCTGCCCCTGGGGAACACCACCACCCCGACTACCCTCTCCTGGGACTTCAGCCACGCTCATTCCTCCACTAACCTGAGCGTAGAACGGAGCTAGATTTTCCTCTGCTGGCTGGAGGTCAGGATGTCAGGAACTATTCGTGCAACTACCAGGTGCCAGGTGGGCGAGGAGGGAAACGTGCAAAGGCCCTGGGGCTGGAGAGACCTCATGGTAAAGAGTGAGGTTACTAGCTGAGAGGGAGGGGACGGAGGACAGGAGAGTGACCAGGAGGCGTTAGCATGGTCAGAAAGCAGGAGAGAGATGGAGGCCACTGTGGACCCCTGACCTCAGGTTAGAAGAAACACTTGCCCCCACGGCCAGGGTCAAATCTTCCTGAGATGGGTACTTAGGAGCATAACTGTTTCCCATGCAGTCTATATTCTTGCCATTCATAGATCGTGCAAATCCTTTTCAGGTTTATTTTTATATCACTTGGCTTTTACCTCCTCTTGGAAAAAGTATTTCTAAAATTCCTTAAAAAAAAAAATCTTCAAACAGAGAGAGTCAAGTTAATTGCTCTCCTTAGTTCATGGCATATTTATTTATACCTTTGGTCTTTGCACTGTCCCTCTCTGTTCATTTGCCCATTCACTCATTCACTCATTCATTCGTTCGTTTGTTCACTCATTCATTCATTCCCTTGTGTCCTCAAACCCTACTTTCATTCGCCTCTCCCAAGAGACAACCAATATCATGTTTAATTTGGTCTTATTGGAGTGCGTTCTTGCAAAACATGTG